AAAAAAAAATGGGAAAAACTAAATGCGAAACCAAGGGACATGGGGAGTTATGATGGGGGCAGGGGTGACCCCAGACCTGGCCTCAGGAGAGAGAGGAGGCCTGTGGCCCTGCATCCCTGCAGCGGGGTGCTCCTTGAGGGGGCCCTGACTTCTGGAATGTGTGTGGGAGAAGATGGGGGAGGGCAGGCGGCCCCCGGTGGGTGTGTGTGTGCGTCGGGGGCGGGCAGGGGCTAGGGTCCTACGGAGCACGGGCTCGGGACCAGGAGCCCGGCTCCTCCCCAGACCCCAGGTTCCTGGGGTTCAGGAGCCCAGTTCTGGGGTGCGGGGTTACATGCAGGGGAGTGTCCCCCCTCCAGGGCTGGATCCGGTTAGAAAGGAAATAAATAAGAAGGGACGGGAGGGAGGCCAGGGGGTGCGCAGGGCTTGGGCAATTCAGTCCAGACCAAGGGCCCGGGGGCCGGAGACAGGGCGAGTTCAGGCCACACCAGGGCAGCAGTCAGAGTCTCTCTCGGGCCGGGACCCAGATGTAGGGGCCTGAGAGGTCCTCGATGACACGCTTCACCTTGTGGTAGATCTCCTCAAAGCTGTCGCCCTCCACGATGGCTGGGGGGACGGGGGGGACGGGGAATGAGGCCAGAGCGAGGGAGGGGCCCCTTTCTCTAACTCTCCAAACCCCGAGCGGTGGGGCTGCCCCCCACCCAGGGAGGCCGCCTTTCTCAACCGTCCGCCGGGCGCGGCACCGGCCTGGGATCTGAGCAAGGGCCACAGCCTCACCTGAGAAGCACTCTGTGAATTCCTGCTCCAGCTTGGTGGCTCTGTCGAAGGCTTTGCGAGCTTGTTCCTCTGTGATCCGCTTATTAATCTCTCTGTGGAGAGCGAGGGAGACGCAGATCTGAGCACGGGTCCCGCCCCACCTCGTACCTCCTCCGTCCCGGCAAGTTCAGTCGCAACCAGTGTTTTCTGATTGTGAAAGACACAGCAGCGAAAGACACAACTCCCCGTGTCGTCTCCGGGGCCACCAATGAACCCCCACCCCACCGCGCGACCCACCCCGGCCGGGTGCGGCCACTCCGGGAACCTCTCCAGAGCCTCATCCTTCCGGCCCTTCAGCCCCAGTGAAGGGGCTCAGACTCTAACTCCCGACAGCCCCAGGGGCCCTGCTCGGCCAGCAGGTGCATGCCCCAGGGGCTGCTGGGAGTTGCAGTCTGGCCCAGCCCGACGAGGCTGGAGAGGAAGGGACAGGCCTGGTCCCCTTGGAGGGCGGCTGGGGCTGCTGTCCAAGGTTCTGAGGGGAGAGTTGGACACAGGCCCAGGGCCACAGATGCGGGGGGCGCTGAGGGGAGGCCACACCCCCCCGAGACCATACTCACAGCACATTCTCCAGGGAGCGGGGGCGAATGAAGATGGCGATGGGGTGCAGGTGGGCCGCCTGCAGCCGCCGCACGGCATTGGCCGAGACATCGAGGATGCAGTGCTTCCCCTGGGGGCAGGCAGGGGGGGCGGAGGGGGACCAGCAGGTGGCAGGAAAGGACGGACAGAGGTGCCAGGACAGGACGCGGTAAGTGGAAAGGTGGGGGATGGGAGATTGGCCAAAAGGAGGTGACATGGATGTCAAAAGACACGTGGCCAGAGAGTCAAGGTGGGAAGGAGGTGAGAACAGACAGAGTTAAAGACAGAGAGAAAGAGAAAGGGGCAGATGGAGAGCAAGGGAAGAAGCCAGCACAGGAGGAGAGGATTGCAGGTAATGAGGGAGGGGTGAGGCATGGGCAGGAAGGGGACCCAAAAGACGGGGCAGAGCAAGGCCAGAGGGGCAACAGTGAACAGGGTGGAGGGGATGAGGGCAGGAGCAGGAGAGAGGAAGGGGGAGAAGGGAAGTAGGATGGGGGGGCGGACAGATGGAAGAAACAAGGAGAGACAGGTGGGAG